TAGGATTTTACACTGCCTCCTAACGAATTTCGAAGAAACGAGAATGTTTTTTTTTTCAAAGGAAGTTCTTTCTGACACTAATTCACTGTACAGCGATCAAAACGTGCAGATCTATACCTTAACGTGATTCTCCCTGGAACCAAATATGATTTGATTAGTCGCATCGATGTTCGAGGGACTTTTCCCGAATGGGACGATGTTCTCGCTACGAATTCAAAACTGGGGTCTCAAGGATCAGTTTTCAGAGACGAAAAGTGCACAGTGTTTGGCATTACGTGACCAACTATTACCATTTAGTCCAATATAGAATCACCACTTCGGCTAGTCGCACGCAAACGCGTGCACCACATGCCCACTACCGCTTACCCACGAGTTCTTAGAGTACCAATATAAACAGAGTCGGTTGACTTCCCATTTCACGAATGTTTCCTCACCGCGTTCGCATGACATTCACACTCTTCATCGCGCCTACGTGACTTTCGGAAGGACGCTCAAACAGGCATACAAACAGACACACAAAGTTACCGCTTTATATACGGAGAGATTGTGAAGAGATTGCACAAACAAAAGAAATTGCACAAATATCTTAACAAAGCCAAAACAAGCAATGGTATTTTCTTTTCACTCAGTGGTTCGCATTGGGATAAGCTGTTTTCTCTTCCTTATTTCAGAGCAAAACTAATGAATAGGGTAAGTTTGAGGAGTAAATCAATTTCGTCTGAGGGATGCGCCTCCCCCACATTCGTCGAAAGAGCTATTTGTGGTAACCCAAGTCTAAATGGTTTTTGATGTCCCATCACTTTTTTGGCTTTCGTTTCCCTGGCTCTCTCGAACGCAATCGCTTAAAAAACATCGCGCATGTATGACAGACTTCAAGAAAAGACCCTCCCACCTCTCCATCATAGTTCATTGTACAACATGATTTGACTTTTCATTTCCTTTACAATCTCACATCACATAGGTTCAATGGGCAGTTATTGTTACCTTAACTTTGTCCAATTCTTGTTTCTATGTACCTTTCAAGTGTGGGTTTTGTGGTTGTGCGGCGTCCTGCACTGGGGTCCGCTCAGTAGAATGCACGAACAAATGAACATGCAAATAAATAAGTAAATGAATAAAACTACAGCAATGTTTTCTCGGTCTGCTTATTCGAGCCTTTGACATTCCCGATCTACAATAAACAAAAAGAAAATGTTGTTTTGAAAAATTTAGTTTTTGTTGTGTTCGAAGCATATCCCTTACTTTTTGCTTGAACTTTTCCGTTTTTGAGAATTTTCTCTTCGCTCATGATGGTCATGCCCACATTTGGAATCGCTACACTGTCTCAATACATCAAATATGATTGTCGTGCTTGTTGCCCTATCTGTAACAGGGATTAAAATGATAGCGGTGTAAGCAAAGTTGAAATGAGGTGCAAATCTTTCTATTTCCGGCGAAAGAGCGAAGTTCACCCGCTGTAAAATGAACATAATTAGGCTCTGCTTTTACAACCAACTTTTCAACGTATATTCAATATCAACGTGGCTGAAGTAGTGTAGTGGCGAGTGGCGCACTGTCACCGACGCTCGCAAGTCATTGCATAGGCCACATACTCGTTCAATACGCCACTACGATTTTGAATGGAAGTCGAACGGCGGGCGCATCCCACGGATTAACGCTGACTATATATCCTTTATCCTTTACACGATATCAACCAGATGAATATTGTGCTTGCATGAGTATGTGACAACCGTTATATTGTCATACCAAGTTTAATAATATCAGCAGTTTTTATGATTTCGTTACAGCTTTCACTGTTGCGCTCCTTATCTCCCCTCTGCTACATGAACAGATCCATTTGGAGTGCAATGGAAAAGCCACGGATGTCATACACAAAATGCCTCTTGCCCATTTTCTGCACCCATTTCCCAGTCATCGCCTATTTGGCTATTTGACACCTCTCTGCATAACAACTACCCCCTAACGGTAAACCACATTTCTATCGATTCGAAGGGAGCATTTGTTATCAAAAACCCGATCAAGCAAAAGGTTCAGATCTATCAAAGTAGCAGGGCTGCACTTTTTTTTTTTACAATTCCGTGTGATTTTTTATTGATTCCGTAGCAGCAGTTGATGAGGATGCGGAGTGAAGCTTATGGGAGAAATGCTTCCCATTCGTACGGGCGCGGCCGCGAAGTTCCCAAGTGTGTCCAGAGTACACTATCACGTTTAGTTTTTATGAAACGATGCATGATGAAAGACAGACCTTGCCTGAAAGACAATAATGCGTGCACTAGTGTAAGCGCGCTGCGAAGAATTGAGGCTGAAAATTGCCATTCCTTGCTAGTTACCTCGTTACTACCAAGATTCGACATCTGCCCAGTAGCGCACATAGAGGACGTTCACAGACTCCGCAGCCAACTGGAAATGATAGCGTCTCCCCTGTAGACAGGAACGAACATTCAGTCCGGCACTCGACTCTTACAGTAATCCGGCGAGTTTCAACACGCAAATTTTTACCCGTCACATATACGACGCGTCGAGAAAGGGCTTTGGGCAACAACACGGGGTTGGGTGGAGGGGTAAGCTAGGGGGTTACTGTAAGAGCCGAGTGCCGGACTGAATCATCGCTTCAGTCTCCTGTAGTATGTAAAGTATGGAATTCATAGTCTGGAAATCCTAATTTTCGATTTGCCTTTCTTTCTCATGTTGTTATTCCCGGATCAACTTCACTGTTACTCGACTAGTTGTGAATACAGTAATCCTTTATTGGACCACTATTACAGGGTTTTCGGCCTAGGGCGTTTCCACGAGGTTTTAGTTGTATGCAACCGTGTACACAGTTGACTACAGTGAACCTACTAACAAAAATAGCCCTACACTATCACCACGGTACTGCCCCCGGAACGGTAAAGCGCTTGAGTTTTCAGCAAAAATATGTACGTGCTCCATTGTGAATAGGGTGAATGGTGCAGCCTCCGTAAAACCATTGAGGCAGGGCCGCTACTGAGTGTATATCCAGATGGAGTTGGACTATGATCTCTTATTGCATCCTATTTAAGCCTATTTCATACTCAAAATGCTCCATGCGGCATTCATGGGAATCAGGGATTCGTCCTAGCAGGAAGCCTCTCAAACCATTTTCATGGTGGGTTGTGTATTTAAAATCCATACAGGACAGAAATGTGCAGAAAGGTGCTCTAAGACGATTCGAAGCCAAAAAAAGCCTTGACTGTGAAGTGAATGAAAAGGGAGCTAACAAAACCATAACGTTTTTAGTTGAAAACGATTGCTACAAGTGGTGTAGCAATCGTTCTCAACTAAAAACGTTATGGTTTTGTTAGCTCTCTTTTCAGCCAAAACTGGTCTTTTGCTTCTTTTTGTCTATTCATTGATTTTTTTTCCTTCGGGTTCATTAAGGCATACAGTAACCGCTGCCGTTCGCCGTTGGGAAGGACTTGTAAAGTTTTCCAAACACCCGGAGAACTGATGACTTTCTGTTCTCGATACTTGCAGATTACTCCCAAGCTCAGCTGTTGCTTCGAAATACCATCCTCATTTTATAACATTTGAAAACATTTGTGAGCGTCGTTGATCATTCAAAGTATAAAAAAATTGTGTACATTATATTGAGACAGAGCTACAGTACTCGCCGCAAGAACTCGAAAATTCACGCGAATACCGCGAAATTGCGTCTTTTCGTCTTTTCTCCATAAATCGGTTAACAGTGGAGTAATTCAGGAGCTAAAGATACTGTTGAGCTCAGCTCGTCGAACTCCGTAAGATGATACTCTGAAGTGGTAAAAATGCTCCTTTTTGGATTGCGCCATGCACTTGAGTTCCATCTGAATACTGGTTGCATGTACATGGGGTGCACGCTCTTGCGCTTGTAGTGGCTGGTTGGTCCCTTAGGATGGAGTCTTCAGAATTCGCTTTGTGGTGCGCCATGTACTCGACTTTACTCAGTACAATGTGGAATATTTAGTCTACATCGTTCACTTCTAATGTGGAAACTGTAGATGACTACATCTACACTCAACACTCCTTCTTACAGTTTCCATTGAGTATACGACACCATTTAACGGCGAAATAACTGAGTCGATTTTTTGACATTTTCCAAACTTTGGAGCGATTTTTCTCAGAGATCTGAGGAGATGGCGTTGAGTCACTGTACTGTCGCAGACAACTCTTTGTTCTCTGCAAGACTTCTATGTTACACCTTATCAAAGATCAAAATTTCTCCCTTGGTGTGGCTCCAAAATTCGAACTTCGTCAGACTCAGACCATAAAATTGTTCTTTCCCGTTTTATTGGCCTTTTTGCAGCTAATTTGTATACAGTTAGGTTCCCCGAGAAAAATACTATCGAGTGATATATGTATGGGTCAACCCTGACGAAATCCTCCCTTCATAACCATTTTCTGCTCCATGCCTGGAGCTGCGCAGTTTCCTGCTGGGCGTGTTTGGATGCGCATGTGGCCGGGTACTGTAGTGGCGCGAAGTTCGAATGGTGGTTTTAGGGGACTTTGGCTCGCAGGCGGCGGAGTTCCGTTTCGGCTGCTTTCATAGTCCGCCGGTCCCGGAGCGCCGCCGAGAACGGTCCGATCTGCTCGGGACCGTCCTTTTCGAACTCAATCTAATCCAAAACCCAATCCAATCCAAATGGCGCAATCCAAAACGAAGCATTTTAACACTTTAGGGTATCATCTTATAGAGCTCGACGGTATCTTCAGCTCCTGAGTAACTCCACTCTGAACCGGTTTATGGAGAAAAAAAGGAAAAGACACGAGTTCGCGGTATTCGCGTGGATTTTCGAGTTCTTGCGGCGACTACTGATTGCACGCATAAGTAGATACGCCTTTCGAACATCTTTGCTATACATCATGAACGAGGGGTTTACAATTGTCACATATCTATTTATTTAAGGAATTTATTGAGAACATGGTTAGAGAACGATCCCTAAACGATGATAGTGATTTTCTAAAAAATTCTTTTGAATACATTCACTAGGAGCTATTTTCAGATGGTTGGACGCCGGGCCAGTTTCCCGGAATATGTGGATTGGTTAGCAGAATTCCGAAAGAAGGGTGCTTTTCAGTTCGTGTCTCAAAAACGAACCTTCCCTCTGTCCACTGCCTTAACCAAACATCCAAAAGCAAGGTCGTACGAAGAAATAAAGAAAAGTGTGCTGAATTCGGTCAGAGTTAAGGTAAGCCAATAAGATCTCAAGGGATGGAAACATGGTAAATTCAACTAAGTAGTATTATAATACCTACCCTCTAATGGTGAAGCTGAGGAAACGCTGAGTGGTGTACTATGACGTGCATGGTTCTTGGGTCGTATCACGTGCCGCACGGCTCAAGCGAGCTTTCATTCCTCCGAGCTCACTTAATCTGTGCCACACTCGTTAGCGAGTATAAAAGGGTTGGCTTGAAAATGCTTCGCTTGAACGCGCAGTTAAATTTTCATTCCGACTCTGATTGAAGTGGAGTTTGTGGGCGTGTCTAATATGTATACCTACATCACCTGTTGTCCCGTTAATCATCGATTTCCGGAAGCGGAAGCCAGTAACTTCCCCATTCGCCCCTGTGGCGAGCCATAGTGGTCCACTAAATCGATCTCGCCCAAATACACGAGGCATTGTATCCATTTTAACCAGAGTTTTCGTGAAGAGGCCTGACCATGCGCTGGTGGCCATCCTGGTGTTCGTTTGACGTCCTCAGGAATCCAGGCAGCAACGGCCGTGGTCCGGCAATCATCACGATATCACAAAACGTCTCTGGCCCTTATAAACTTCGATTCCTTAACGTGATTCACATCTTCCCTGACATTTGTTCGCTAACGGAGCTTGGGACTTAGCATATTAATCTACTGAAAAAAACCATCCTCGTACTTCTACCTAATGAACAAAAAGAGATCAGCTAGGGAGTAGTCTACCACGTTACGCAATACTTTCGGCTAGTTGAGAAGAAGTCGACGAAAATTTTTCGAAGGTTCGAATCGATCTTCTCCCATACGCATTTGCACATTCTAAGAAGTATTGGCTCCTCTCCAACTACATATAAGAGTACTGAGTGCTGAGTAGACGTAGATGGCTACGCTTTCCTTCCAGATGTCGCATGGGTCAAATAACTCTTTAGTTGCTACCACAAGTTTTAATAAAAAAAGATAATAAATATAGATTGCATGAAGTATTCCAATAAGGACCATCTATTGCTCCCCTATCTGTTTTATGCCACTAAAAAAAAGGAATTCGGTCTCGTACATATCATCCATTCAGTTTATAGGAAGCTATAGCGGATGAAGTGGCTCGAAGTGGTGATTCAGCTGCCAAAGTGCAAGGTGACGCGGAAGCCATCTTGAAGATGATGGCTCACAATTGGGGGCTCAAAAGCACCCGGACCTTTGGTTTCGCCGTCTCAAAGGTGTTAGAGGTACAAAATTACTCAAGCTTCGCCATTCAAATCCAGATATGATATTTTACATTTCAGCGAATATTCGACTCCGTTTACGTGAACGCCAGTCAGCTGGAGCAAATTCGAGAACTGTGCAAAACCGCATCGGTGGTGTTCATGCCGTCACATAGAACTTACCTCGACTTCCTTCTCCTTTCACTGTTTTGCTTCGAATATGTACATATTTCCATTGTTGGCTATTTCGACGGCATTCAGTAATTTGTTCTTTTAGGAGGTTCCCCTGCCAGCGATTGCTGCCGGTATGGACTTCACGAATTCCTGGTTTATGAGCGAAGTCCTGCGAAGGTGTGGGGCGTTCTACATTCGGAGGTCAATTGGTCAGGTTCGACTCGCCACTTTTGTGTTCAACAATGCTCGATATCAACTTACTTTTTACAGGACCACTTATACTGGGCCATTCTTTCTGAGTATGTGCAAACACATGTTATTCATGGCGACCGACCCGTAGAATTTTTTGTCGAAGGAACAAGAAGCCGTGTAGGCAAAAGTCTCCATCCCAAATACGGTCTCCTTCAGATGGTTCTTGAGCCGTATCTCAGAGGAAAAGTATACGATATAGTGAGTGTTTTCTTTCTCTCAACATAGCTCCACATGTGCTCTTTTTTTTGATTTTAGCTTGTAATTCCGGTGACGACTAATTATGATAAGTTATTGGAAGAAATGCTGTACGCTTACGAATTACTGGGATTTCCGAAGCCAAAAGAGAGTACATCAGGTAACTCGAAATAGTCGAAGACGATTAAACTATTCTTTTATCTAGAACACTTGATAAAGACCTCTTCGTTCGCCACATTTTCAGTGAACAGATAGGTCTAGGAGGGGTTCACGGAGATAGATCAATAGGAGTCATAAACCATTATGGACATAGTCTGATATGGCTGTAGCACGCCAATTACCTTCACTTTTAAGCACCTGCTCATGGTCAGAAGGAATCCACAGCGGTGGAGAGGAAAAAACGGATATCGGTTATGTGCTCATAAGGAAATCGTCACTAGAAACTGTCAAGGGCATAAATGTCTTGAATGGCGAAATATCGACCCTTTAGCCTAGGTCTCTTATAGCACTTGGGCTACCCAAAAGAGCAAGGATAAGAGTTGAGCGGAAAACCCAGTGGTGGAAGGTTCACTGAGCGGAAACAGACAAACTGTAGGGCTCAGAAAAATGGTCGCGCGAGCCCTCAAGGACTTATCCAGCAGGCGTCGAACAAGTTCATCCTGCAGAGAACGAAAGAAACATTGGTTGTAATGCTGTGTGGATTCAGAGGAAAAAAAGCAGCATGGTTCTGGAGTCCAGTGAGTCATAAAATAGAAGAGTGAGGCGACAAGGGTCGGCGAATGTTGAGAGCTCCAGAAATCCCAATGTCTACAAAATTTGCCTAAGGCTCACCAAGTCTGATGTAGCGAAGGGAAACATTACAAAAATAGGTGCCTTCTACGGGAGGCGTGATGTTCGCGAAGGGAAGAAGGACGGTTTTTGGCTAACCAAGCCCGATATCCTACTACTCAGGACATCGAGATAGTGAAATCCGTCGAGAACAGCGAGGGCACTATCTCGAAGAAAAACCAAACAAGGCCAGGCGAACGTGGAAAGAATACTTTACCGGGCCTTGGAAAAAAGTGTCCTCCTGCGAAAACAGCTCCCACGAAGAAGCGAAGGCTGACCCCATTGCAGCCTGAACAGAAGGTGAGGTACATCGAATAATAGTCCTTACACTGATCGAAAAGATTGTTCTTTAATCTATAACCGTCGATCCCCGCCCAACATCCTGTATTTCTCAACCAATTTCAGGACTTCTCAAAGCTCGTGATTTTTTGAATAAGCGATTTGGTAGATGCTTCATGACATTTGGCGAACCGATATCTGTTCGTAACTACTTCGGAACGTCACTTCATCGATCTCAGTTCATATGTCAGGTCCACTTTTATCGTCATTCTTTCTAAATAGGGAGCAACTATCCAGAGGTTTCAATTGGGGGACGGAACTTACGTGCGTCCGAGGATG